TTTAATTTTCTTTTGATTTAATATCATTCTTTGTGATTCGTTGTTCCTTCTTATTTTGTTTCTTTGTATTGTGCGATATGTTTTATTTGGATTGAACAATAATGTTTCATTTTTATTTAAGTCAGTCCTGGTGTGTAATCCTTGTATTTGAAAGTTGAGAAATTTGCTTTTGTTATAGAGATCTGTATTGGCATACGCTGCCTTCCGGTACTCATCCATAAATATTATTAAGCAATAAAATGATGAAATTACAAAATAGGCCTACCTTACCAAAATTTTCAGCGTATATGGGACGGCGTTCGGACGTTTTTGCACAATAACGCAAAGTTACGAATTGAAAAGTTTTGTATTTAATAATCAATAACATAAGTAGCGAGATTGTATTACAGTAAGCAGGGTTTTTGGAACCTGGGTCAAACATTTTGCCCACTTAGACTGGCGGGCCATGTAACTGTGACGTAAAAAGTTACATTTTAATAACAATATTCACAAAAGCAAAAGTAAAATTGGAAAACAATTAGCTTAGCACCAAAACTAAATTTAATCGCAATCCCAACAAACTTCAAGAGTTTCCTTGGCTAAAACATCAAAATTAGGATTTAGTTCGTTTGTGGCAGCATCAGGCGGGTCAGATTGAATTGCCCAATGGGCTGGATTTGGCCCATCGGCCGTAGTTTGCCCGTGTCAGGTTTAAAGTCAATAATATTTAAGTCGGATTCGAATACGCACAAAATGACATTCTTTAAACGTATGACAAAGTTTAAATCAGTAGATTCAACGTTAAAAACATCAATATGATGATATCTATCTACGATAAGCTGCCATTTGGTCGATGGAAAAGATGTTCAAATCCGGCATCTATGTGCCCGTCATATTAATATTACTCTTCGGCCGGGCAAGTTATTTGTACAGGTAATTACCGAATTTCTGTGATAAATATACGTATGTATAAAAAGGGTCCCACCTTCAATGAAGCTTTCTCAGTAATCTGGAAAGAAAGCCCGAGGAATTTAAATGCAATCGCCTGGCCTGGTCCTTATTGGAATAGATATGTCACGAAATAAATGAGTGCATTACGAGGAAGTTAGATTCTGTCTACACGTATCCGTGGGTAATTCCCCATTAAGACATAGTATATTTGTATCAATGTACTCGAAATGTACTGTTGCTGGATTGGTGTATTTATCATTATCAACAATTCGCTACAACATGTTCAGCACAGTTTTTACATTACAAGTCCTAATTTTTTTTTCGTGTATAAGAGTGATTATAACCATATTAAGCATGTTTATCTATACTCAACGCCTGGATCAAGGTCAACGGGGAGGGGAAATCGCAATTTTGCTCATTTAGTAATTCTTGGATGTATAATACATATTTTACGTAACTAAATCGATAGGCTCGATAGGCTCCAATGAGTACGGTATCTTTTTTATTTTATTTCCTATTTATATACATTTAACTGTGAATCCTAATAGTGAACTTGGGGGGAGCTGACTCCGATGACCTTATGGTCGTATCGCTCCCCCCAGTCTATACCGAATTAACTTTGTGTATATTGTATATATTATTTTGTATACCATTAATTGTTTACGGTTGACAAAACAATAAATCTCTCTCTCTCGTCCATGCGATGATTTTTTTGTCGATACCCACAGGCATTGCCACATGAATAAATCGAAACTCTGCAGAATCAATGCTGAATGAACGAACGGGATGACAGGGAGTAGACCGTACTTTTTTATTGGGTTTTATATGATAAACAATATTGCAGTATTAATACAATACAAACGTAATAGAGAATGCAGAATAATTACAATTACTCACATACATCTAAAAATCACAGTTATTATTTATTTAAATACTTAGAATTTTTCATTTTGTTTGTGTATTTTTCATTTTTTTTAGAGCCAACATTCTTTCATTCTCTTCTATAATGTCAACAAATTTTAGAAAACAATTTAACTTTGGCATTCTTTTACCAATTTCACATTTGTATAGATAAAATCGATCAGCAAGCAAAACATAATTACACATCATGTCAAAAAAAATCCTACAGTATTCTAATAAACATTCAATCTTGGTGAACGCAGAAGGTAGACTGTACTGTTGATCTTAATATAATCCGCGGTACCACGTCGTCATCTTGTAGCGGTTGCGCTTTTGCGTTAGTCGTGAAGTCTGTGATACGTTTTGAATTTCGTGTTCATTTATTTGAGGATCGCTCTCTTGTTATTGTTATTGAACACTGAGACTAAGTGGACCTATGGATGATTACTTATCGATCTTAAGATCGGTAAGTATGTTGATAGGTATTTGTTTGTTTGTTTGTCTGTTAGATGCACGCGATATCTCGAAAGCGAGGTTCAATCTGCTCCAAATTTTGCACGTGCATTCATCATAGCTCGGATCAGAAGCCTATTGATTTTGGATGGATTATGTCGTATAATTAGCGAGTTATTAATTAATTAGGGATGGGACACACGGTGTCACTATGGAGTAAGACCACTGTTTTAGGGGATCCCCTAACCTTCGATCGATAAGTCTTCGGTTTCCAACCGAATTCTAGTTATGTTGTTGTTAATATTTTTCTTGTTGTAAACGTATGCAAAAATCGCTTTCTCCTTAACGATTAGATCAATAGCTTTGAAAATTTCAGTGCTTGAGGATTTATTTTCTGCTACAAGGCTTTTTATTCATTTCAAACATTACATGTCGGCCGTTTTTCACTTCGAAATTTTGTGTGATGACCTCTTCCTAATTAACAAAAAATATTTGTAGCGGTTTTAGCTTGTTTTATTCTCTTGCTACTCGAAAGTTGGAGACTTTTTGACGGTTCAGGTTCTGTAAAAGGTAAGGTAGACTACTGCCTTCTTTTTTCTCCGTGTTCATATGTGTGAGCATCGATCTCTTGTTAGAAATGTGCTCCTTTTTATATTTTTATCTGTGCATCTTCAGAAGAACATTTTGAAATTTACTAAAAATGTATAAACTGGGGGCGGAAATACAAAACATGTAGAAGGAATGGGCGCGGTGACTCAGTGATTATAAGAATAGTAAACGACTTGGTATGTTCAACGAATCACTGTTGTTGAAATATCATTTATAGCCCTATCAGGTTTTGTTGACCCATTGTGACTGTTGTCGGACGTTTGTCATCGAAACTAATTATACATGAGGTCATTTGTGTGTTAGAAACGCGGAACTTCCAAAGTGTTTGGCGCGCGACGAAGGGATGTGTTCAATAGCAATATCCAAATTATATATATATATATATATATATATATATATATATTTTGGTGTTTCTTGCGCGGCTTTAGTTAAGAATTATTTTTTAAGCCACTTTTCCAATCCCCTTTGCGGTAATCGTGGTTGTACTAAGTGATCAATTTTAAATTCTCCAAACATTTAGCTTACTATTGGAATTAGCACACATTCCATGGCGGAACTGAAAGTCACGATCCGTCAAATCCTAATTTTGATCCCACTCTTCAATAAAATGGCGGGGAGAAATAAATTGTTCGGTTATGAAACTAAAACCTATTCACCCAAAGTACAAAATGCTTGGCGTTTCTCCATAAAATCTATTGTGTGCCCTCAACGATAACCTGACCATAGTCGTTCGAGAACGCTAGCATATTTTCACGACTACCGGTACATACATATGGTGATTTTCTCGCGATAGGATGACCGATAATGAACTATGAAACTTGAGGGGCGTTGGGACGCGACACTCTGAAAAGAGACACACCCTGAATAAAACCTTTTGTTTGTTTAGTTATTCCGGGACAATATCTCTTATTGCGCGGTGAGACTAATAGTAGGCTATTTGGAATAGAGAGTGAAAGCTTTCTCGCCAAAGTTAGCTTTTAAATTTATCTACTAATACGATACATTGGATTTTTTACACTTCTTAGGGTGGCTCGCACAACCGCTGGTCGGTTACGGCTTCCTCCACCATCAAGTCCGTGCTTCCGAAAACAAATAACCGACTAACTAATCCCATACTGTACCCGACTTGGTAACCGAACAGGAGGCGGTGGTGCGCCATACGAGTAAGCCGTTTTATCGCCTTTTCTCCCCATGAGATAATATGTAAATCCTATCCCTATTCTAAAATGACAAGACTTCCAACCTGTAGTTTGACATATTATAGGACTGTATGTGCATAATGGGTTCTATTGAAAACTGCGATTGCGTCCAACAGTCATGATCGGTGTGTACCGGTACTGCGAAACTATTTTATTCAGACAACGGCATGTGTTTCATATCTGAGTGTCTTGGAAGAACACGCCATCTTGAAACGGCAGTTATAGACTGGTATTGTTGTCCGAACTCTAGTCTGTTCTGTAGATGAGAACCTAATAAAAGACATCCAACCTGAAGGCTGACATATTATATGAATGACGGGTTCTTTTGAAAACTACCAATGAATCCAATAGCCGATCGGTGTGTACCGGCACTGATTTATTATAACAACGGCTGTATTTCATGTATACTAGAAGTGTTGGGGAAAAACTTGGAACGTCAGTTACATACCGGGTTATTGTTACTCCAGATAAAATACCGCTTACACTACTATTATGGGATTTATCCGGGACCTGCGGCTATAGTGGTTTGCACTCGGCAGCGCAGGTCTGTTTCGCAAAAATTTACGGTACAATTTCTACAAGGTCAAACAATAATCACTAAGTAGACTGTGCCGAGGTCCTGCTCCCACGCCCCCTAATAAAGTAAGTATCCGTTTTCGGTCTTGGCCTTGAGAAGTTAAAATTAGTGTGATATCAAGTGTAAAATTACTTTCACAAAATTAGCATCTTTAGGAGCAGTCATCCAGGGTTCATACCACAGTATTAAAATCATTGGTACGTCATGGTATAAAACAGGTGCTCAAACATTATCAGTTTATCACCTTTATCCAGCTTTTCAGGGAAAGTAGACACTTTGGGGTATAAAATTTCTACCACCTTCTCTAAATAATAAATAAAAGCTATCCAGCATTTTATATTTACAAAAATTTTATTGTTAATTTTATTAGAACCATCATAAAAAATCGCACTTTCATTTCCAAACACTTTTAATGCCAAGAAATAGTTTTGACATGAATCATACCTGATAACCCAGAAAAAACTATCTCTGTCATAGAGTAAGTATATGCACAATCATATATAAACAAATCAAAAATCTACGCTGTTTCAAACAAGGATTTCATTAGATATATTTTCACTTGAACACAAGACCATGACTAACCATAATACATCCACACTTGATCGGGTATAATACGAACTAAAAAATTGAATCCAATCTATAAGACCATTTCATACAAAGCCAGACAAAATTAAAATAAAGCACATGCTATGGAAACTAAAAATTGAAAACAAAAGTAGCACAAAACAGAGAAAAAGCAAAGTTTACAAGCGAAAAGTGATACAAAAATAAAATAATGGCATAATACTAAAGACAGAAAAAAAATTGAACACCAATAAACTTTTGGTAATCCCAAAAATATATGAGACTTTCTCAAAAAACCGTGATCGGCAACTTTAAACTTAGCAAACCATGTAACATAACACATGTTGAAAAACACACAATACTGTACTGGTTCAATAAAAATACATTATTTTTTATCCAATGACTTAGCATACTATGAGAGAGCTTATCCTATAATAATCAGTACCAGTAACCACAAAGTCACCAGTAATATCATACTCATGAAGCAAGGTATAAATCATAGTCTGCTTAATATACGTCTTGGTCATAGTTGCCGCTATTCAAGAGTTTGATTTCACAACAGCAGAAGATAGCCGGATTCAATCATGCAATTGAAACGATTTATTGAAAGTGTTTCAAGTAGCTTAAAACTCTTGAGGACCAAACTAATCTATGATGGTGTAATTTTCATTATGAACATGTAATCGAAGAAGTAAAAAATGACATAAGATTGGTTTAAAATATTTGATTAGTAGTTTACGAAATTGATCACATCATTTCAAATCGTTTCATGAACGAAATTAAATGATGTCACTGCCATCCGATTTTAAAGATTGTCTACAAAAAAATATGGGTGGCACGAGATAAGTACATTGATGGAAATGTAATGTATAATCATGGTTGATTACCAAATATTAATTTCAGGAAATAGCTCTTAACTTGATTAAATACGAAGCAATTTAGAGTGATGGGCGTAAACATGATCAGATGACATCATGTAGTAATTACTTTGTTATCTCTCCTATATTATTATACATTGCTAATTATATAAAGCAGATCTGTGACAGCCAGAACTGTAGCTAAATTTGCAAAATTACAAAAGTTACTCATAGAGCAAAAAAGCCATTACCAGTAGAGCAAGATGATTTCCATGTATCCATGAAAATTTTGCAAACGATGTATGAATAAATTAAGATACATTTATGCTACTCTAATTTTTCAAGTGAAGGCTGCATGTTAGAAACTGTTTGTGTAGTTTAACCTACTGTAATGCAAGAGGCTGTGCATATTCAGTAGTTCCACTTCATAGACAACTTTTTAAAGCTGATCACTCTCAATCATTCATAATATATTAGTTTGAAAAACCAACAATAACCAAACGCTTTTTATTGCCCCAATCTGTGATTCTTCATACTTTTAAAATATTGGAAAGGTATATTGACGACGCAATGTAAAAAAAATTAATCCTGACATATCGGGCTGGGATGAAAAAGTACCTGAAATTAGAGATAAGAGAGACGACCTACAACGAAGTTAGGATGATTCAATACTATAATGAAGAGATGTGTTTTGATAAGCAAAAAAGGTCAAAAGCAAGAGTTGAGAGCGAACTTCCCAAGTGATGAATTATTTCATCATAAAACTTGGCAAATAAAAAAATGTTGACAAAATCGTAAAATAGGTGAAATTACACTTTTTTCATCCTATAACCGATGTATGTTGCCAAGTTATGGTAATCGCGACAACACTTTGAACGAAGCAAGTAAAGGCATCTTCCAACATGAGAACTGACGGAACGCTTCCGGTGTCGACCTTTGCTTTTTATCGACACATCAAACTTTTCCTCTTGAGGACTCGGATCAATGTAAGCTGGATTGACGATGTCGAATATATCTTGTTCTGCATTAATCATCATACTCATCTGACGTGTATTACGTTCTGTCCATCGTGGGATTTTTCCTTTTCTTGACTGATGGAATCTGATCTCAACATCATCTAGAAACAAATTGAAATTGAGTAATGCTTTTGATAGTTTTATTATGTTTATGTAATTTTGTATTAGCAATATATCATTATCATGAGATTTCCAACAAACTTATACGAGTAGTCGTTGTTTAGATACACAAGAGCTGCTTGTTTTGGAACAACCACATCCATTTTATAACATTCTGGGTGGGTAATTACAAGAAGTCATGACTGTACCATACACACCATTTTATTTATTTTACTGTTTATCCCCATGTTTTCTTTTCGTACGTGTGTGGTTGCTAGTCCGTTAGTCTTTTCCCTACTTCTCTCACTTTTGTATATCAAATAGAGTAGAGTGATAGTTTTTTAGGTTATATAAGATACATATTTCTTGCCTTTTACATTTGGAGTTGCTACTATTGATAAATTTATCTAAACCGGAATACTTCATAAAATTGACTTCTCCAATTCCGAATATTTAAATGTTCCACAGCAGCTATTTATTCAAATAAAAATTCCTTTTAGTTACACCCAATATAAAATGGTGTACAACAAAATTTTGATGACAGTTCTTGCCCATGTTTATGCCAAGACTTATGCTTCTCATCAAATCACTGTTTATTTAGTCTATAAGGATAATCTCACTGAGGATGCAAGCTTATTAAAGTCTAATAAAGATCTAAATATATCACAGGAAGAATGAATTTCTGTTTCATTTATTTCCACACAGGGCAGACCTCAACCACAAATTCCAAATATAGCAATTAAAACACCACACAATCAGCACCTATTCATAAAAATTTACCAAATCGCCACATTTGATTACTAAAAATAATTTTAAATATAGTACCAAATTGAAAAAAAACTTTATTTATAGCTTAAATATTGGTCTCCCATGGTTTGATATGCCAAACTACAAATGAACCCTTTCATTAATTGGCAATTAAAATTAGAACTCAAAAGAATGAATCAAGTGGAACAGGCTTTTAAATGTTGCAGTCAGGACTGTTTTTTTGTAACACAGTTAAAACCAAAAATTATTTTAAATATAGACGGGCATTTCATGATTCATACATATTTCATACTGCCGTGACAGTCGTATAGAATAAACTTTGATACGTATTGATAAATCAAATATTTACCGAATAACAATCAAGTACAAATACTGCTTGGTTATTCAAAAAAGAATTTTCCTATGGAATTTATAACATAATAAAACCCTTTTAACCAATCAAGAATGATCTATTATGAACCAAACCACACTCACTGGTTAAAAACACATTTGAAAGTGAAATTGCAAGTAACCAATTGAATTGTTGCAGCTGCCAGTGTGAATCACACAGCGTCATTTCTAAACTGTGGTTATTTTTAACAGAAATATCATTATCCATATGTAGTTTCAAAATTTTTTTCGGTGTAATGTGCCTTGATTTGGTAACTAATTTAATCTGATTAATTGATTTATTCTGATCATCTTCAGATAAGGAAATCCCATGAGAAAATTTATATTAAAGACCAAAAGTTTTGAAAATAGACGTTTGAACTGTACAAAGAAAAGCACGCAAATTTTTTTATTTGGTTTTTGTCCATGACGAGATTGTGGACAAATAGTAATGAATTCCAATGAAATCACTTCCGTATTGACTAACAGCTTTCTGCAATGAGTGTCACGCAACAAGCAAAACCCAAATTTGTGCAAGTTATGCTTCAGTTAGAAACTAACGGTTAGAGATAAGGCTCATTTGCTTTGAAGTTTTATAAACTTCAAATGCCACTCAATTACCGTTAAAACTTCAAATGATGGCAAAAATTATGCATATTAAAACAAACCACAAATCTTTCAGTCTGCCTACTGGCAAGTACCGTAAAGCCACATAAAAGAGAAAAGGTCTGATCCGTGTCAATATAGCGTTTTCACATCTCGGCGATAATCTCTACTACAAACAATAAACCGCTTAGAATTTGAGAGCCACAGTAACCAAAGTGATTTAGCCTTTCCGATGCAAGATTAAATTTTTATCAAGACAAACGTATGGAAACGATATCATACTGTTTAATTAAAAGCGGTCGAAATGCATCCCAAATTTGTGAATCACATTACCTACAGATAAAATCAGAATATGAAGCTAAATTTATTAATGGAAATTAAATTAATAAAGACCATTCTTTTTATCTGACATTTAATCTTTATCGAGATTAAATAAGGTTTTAATTAAAAATTTAAGTCGATTTTAATTTTAAAATGGATATAATAAATTACTCAAAAGTGAAATTCAACATTGCGCAATAGAAATAAGTAAAGACTTATACAGACAAACAATGTTTTGAATAAACACACCGAATTCAAATATACATGATGAATGGGATTTAAGAGTAAAATTGTTTTTCGAGGGAACAGAGGTTCTTTTTCATAGAATTATATTGAATCCTGAAACCAAACTTCAATGAAAATACTTTAAACTTGTAAAATTATGATTTATTGCATGGCTGTATAGACGTAATTGCATTTTTCACCCAAAACAAAAAGAATCAGATCAGTTTCAAAAGAGTAGTATCTAATCTTATCATCTAATCATACTTGATCTAACACAAATTGTTGGGTATTTTTATGATTTTCACAAAAAGGGAAAAACAAAACCTCTGTGATTGCAGTTTCAATGACCTCAAATATACTTTTATTTGGGGGAAAAGAAAAACTTTTGATGTATAGAACATCCATCATTTCATGAATATGTGATTTTATATTATCGGATATGTGTAATTTCAATTAAAGTCCCATAAAGATGTTTCAAAAGAATGTCACTACATAACCAAAACTATTTATTCTTTTTTATACATTCGCGCATGACACATGGATGAAATATACAAAACCCATTTATGATTCATACTTGATTTTAACAAAGAATATTTCAACAAGGGAAATTCTAATAATGACAGTATATGACATATGAAATATTACTTATGATACCAGGTGATAATTATCAAATAATTAAGCGTGATGTATATAACTGCCTGAAAATTATGTGACATCTATCAGTTATTAATCCTAAGGTGACAAAAATAAGAAAATCATAGTCGTAAATGAAACATTGCGAAACATATGTATCACGATTATTGCTCAAAAAAATTTCCAAAATAGTTGGACGTGATTGTTAACACTAGATAACGCTTTCATTATTTTACCCATCAAAATGGATTATTTTCTTTTCTGTGGAAAATAAAATAAAAAACTCTCACAATTTCAATTGTAAAAATTAAGAAAAAAATGGATTGACAAATGATGAACTTGATGTACGCAATATAAATTTCATAGATGTAAAGTTTTTTTAAATGATGTGACATATCAGTCATAAATTTAAAAATTCGATTTTATTAATTCTCTAAATATAGTCTTGATTTGTACTGTAAGTATATTTAAAAAAATTTAATATGGTAGAAGAATCTGGAAACCAAATCAAGATAGCGCGACAGATATTTCAGCCTCATTATATGTGCATCATAATATAGGTGTTATTCAAAACACTCGAATATGTGTAAAATTTTGTTTTTCTACACATACATAGCAAATCCGTTTGTGTCAACTAAGTTATCTGACACATATATCATTTTAAGACATGATTTCCAGTTTCACAACCTGGTAATATGGGTTTACCCAAGAGACCGAGAATCAAACCACAAAAACGCAGATGATTAACCCAAGTCTGGATATTATTTTGGGAATGGGCTTTACATGCCAACTTAATCGAATTGGTGAGATTGAATAAGGAGACCAGTGTGATAATACTATCAAAACATGACACTGGCGCCTCTCCTGCTGAGACCGACTAGAAGATGAGACTCCAACTACACAATGCTGCTCTTTGAATGTGAATTAAAATCTTTGAATAATCCAGTTACAGAACATATATAACTTGTCAATAATTGTAGATTAGGCTTCGATTCCTTGTTCAGAAAAACTAGCAATTTTTAGGCTTATCATCATTCAAGATTGATCATGTATAAAAATATACATTACGAATGAAGATATTTCCTTGGACTTTAGGTGGCCAAGTATAAACCAAAAAAGATTTTCTGCATATTCATCAGATAAATATTCATACAAATATGATCAAAATATATGGATCACGCAACCTTTAATAAAAAAAGCATTTAAGATGCCATTGCCATGGAAAACCTAACGATGGCCCATAGATAATAGTATATCAGGTTCAATGCAAATGAACCAATTTTAATCAGTGCAAGACCAAGTCTGTCAACCAGAATAGCACAGGTATCATAGTTTGGGAAAAGCTATCATCTATACAGGAAACCCATGACTGGATTTCATTGAAGTGAAAATAGGAATGTGGCAATAATCTGCAGATGCAAACAGAGACAGACATTACAAACAATGATCGGAATGGGTCCATTTCTTTAAACTGTCATTGATTTCCTTTGATCAAACGACTAAAAAGAAACACCAAAATTGTTCCCAATGTATTATACCAAGAAATATCTCTGCGGCATTACAAAGCATATTATCTGCGATTTAAAATTCCATGGTGGTACTTTTGCTAGCAAAATAGGCACTAAATTTGTATGCCTAATGTTCTTTGTAATGGGATTTTCATAATCTCCTAGTTCAGATAGAATCGTCGTTTTGGGTCAGTGGAAAAAAAAGTGGATGCAGAGTATCATTAATACAAATTCGATTTTGTAAAAAAAAATATTGTCAATTATCACACCATGTTTGAAAGTTAGATATGATACCATCATTATGTCTTCCTAAAAATGCAACATATCCATTAACATACGCTGTACAAACATTTTTATCATAGTACACATGTAGAAATTGTTGTGTAATCCAAGCATCAAAGATCAAACATCACAAAAAGCCCAAAATACAGAATATATCAAAAAGTTTACGGCAGGGATCAAGTTGTCCCGTTTGTGTGATCCCATTAGCCATGGTGTCACATGTTGAAGCAACTTGGGTGGCTGAGACACTTTTAATGCTTTTCTATTTTTAATGCTAGAGTTAAATATGATATTACTTCTTTTTGAATGTATACATTTTGATTTTGTGACATGTAAAAAATTGCGATGGTCGTCAAAAATTTAATATATTTGTCATTTCATATGTAAACCTTTGATCATTTTGAATAAAATACCAAATATGAATAAAAAAAGGCTGTCAAGATATAGTACAAGGTTGGAAAGCTGTAGTGTATATTAAAACGCATTGTTGATCGATGTTTCATTTGACCGTGTTAATGTATATAACTGATAGGAAATATACAATATTGTTTTTGAGTTCAACCGCAGCTTGCATGTTAAATTGTCGATATTTCAAAACTATTTGAAGTGACAATAAATATTACCTTCTAATGGATTATCAGGAGTATCAAATTCATTTTCACCGTCTATAATACTTCTCTTTCCCCTTGAATTCACATACATTTGACATTTATAACATAGTCTCAGGTAACATCTGAAAGGAAAAACAAATAAAGAAGTTCGTGTTAGCATTTCATAAAAAAGCTCATAAAAAATGTTGCACAATGCGGTGGGGTTATGTGGAGCTGTCATCCCAAAGTACACTTTCAGACACCACAAAGGTTATTATCGTCATTCTTTATGGCAAGCTGATACCGTTTTCAGACGTCATGTCATCAGTTATATTTGTTATCTGCCATTGGCATCGATGTGGTTATAGACTTTGTAACTTGTGTGTGTGTACAACTGTATTATTATCGCAACAAAATTGCCAAACGCAAATATGCATTTACAGTGATTTACATGTATCTAAAAGCAATTTATTCTAATACACCATTATGTTAAAACTTCATTTTTAACATTTTAGACGAATACACGTCAACAGACAACATGGTTTCGCGATAAGGTCATGCTTACGACCTCAGGGCAGATGTTGGGGAAAAATTACTAAGATTCGGGCAAAACAAAATGCCAATCCAAACTTGAAAGATTCTCCAGCGGAAAGATTGAAATGATAACAGCCTGGATGTTTGTGCTTAAGTGCATAGTCTAAGACGCCAAGAGTACCATTACTGTAATTGACAGAAAGATGGAAGATAGTGAACGACTCTCAAGTGGCAGTCTGTTAATGCCATTCAATGACACTCATATACAAGCCTCTGACATGGATTTCAATCAATCATCGTGATGGCTAAGTGCGTCTTTATAATTATAGAAAATGATAAATTTGAAATTCAATTATTTAAAGAGAAATGTCGAAAACTCTAATATTTATTTGCTATGTATCAAAATTTGAATAAAATTTCAATTCAGATGCTATCAAATTATATTTCATGTTCAAGTTATTTACATCTATACAAACTCAAATTTCACATTAGAAGACTTTCAGTCACAGCAATTTGAATGAAGACACTATCATTTGGCAATCAACATAAACTACTTAGCTATGATATTTCAAAAATATCAAATTTCACAGATAAAATAGTAATTTTAAATATGTTAATAAATCACAAAAAATAGCTATCATTTTGATTTCTCATAAAACTAAATAATTGTGTATCTTCAAATGAAAGTATATTTGGTTTTGTATAGCAGAAACATTATTATCACACTATCAGACTATTGCAAAGATCTTTAAATTTTCAAGTGCATAACAAATAATTAACACCTAGAATGCGAGAAAAATCAATATTTTTTTTGCGGACAATGCAATTGATGAGGTATTTGTTGAGCTTAACTATCGGTATACTTGCATATGGTTACGAAAAGAACTTTGAACCTTAGAGGAATAGACAAGAAAAAAAAATTCCTTACATAATATGATCATAAATGGTCCGGTCATATTATTTTAGCAATAATAGGTAGTAATTCAATAACTATTGACCAGTACGTGACTTCATTACAGAAATATGTCATGTAATCTTCTTTGAACATTGGACAAGGTCATAATTTTCTGATAAAATTACACAGGTAATGATATATTTCGTACAATTATTTTTAAAAAGTTATCATGAATAGATATTTAAAGAATTATTTTTCAGAATATTACATAAATTCGGATGTTTAAAATTAGGAGATTAAGCTCATTTAGGAATATTATTATACTGCAGGCTAATGAAAGGCCATACATAATTAAATACATCTAATAACGGGTACAATTACTGAAATTTTTACTTGGAATTTGATCTGATTATTGTCTGTGAGAACCGTGGCACCAACAGAAAACTAACCTTTACGATCTTGAATAACAAAAGTACTTGAAAAGGTAATAATAAAGAGGTCAACTAGAAGAATTTGAAATTACTTCTTCACCAGCATTCTTTCACGTACAAATCATGAGCACTCAAAGACGCATTATTGAACATGTTGCCAGGTTTTTGAAATGTATTTACGAACTAAACTTTAATATTCTTTCAAATTGCCATTGAGGGCAAAAATCTAATGTCTTAGCAACTAGTTAATTTAATATAGTATATTATTTTCATCTACTTAAAATGTCAAATACAAATGGTATTAGGATAAACGCAAAAGGATGGCTTGGAAATTTTACTACTAAATTTATCTAGCTTTTGTTTCCTAATTCTAAAGATTTTTGAATCAGTTCTATCGCATGTTTTGAGTATACTTTCGTGTTACATTCCTTTTTAGTACTTAGCGGGGGTGTGACTAAAATAACAATTATGACTACATGTCAACCTATATTTATTGTTAAACAACATTGTGTAGATGACAAATGAGCTATTCGTTAGTGGATGACATCCCTGAAATTGAGCAAAATGGTCGTAAATGGATTTACGATTTCATAACTTTCAGACCACCTGCTACTGGTGTATTTACAATCTTATGATGCAACCATCTGGTACCATTATGGGGTTCATAAATCAATGATTGTTTAACATATGGTAGTTTGTTTTACAAAAATTGGGCTACCTAAAGTAGAAACAGTAGAATAATGAACTTATGTATCAAAATATGGACAATAGATGACTAATATGTATACTGAACCAATATACTCAAAATAAAAATTAGCACTTTTTCAAAATATCCATGACTAAATGATGGAGGAATTTCTGAATGTTTATAATACATCTACGAATGAAATTAGAAATAAAATAATATGATAAAAACTATTTTCCTGTGTATTATTAATAAATTTTGTCTCCAATATTTTTCTGAACAAAAGATAAATGAATACTGGGAACCCAATGGTATTGAGTGAGACTATCATTATACTATTTATCCAATATAACCCACTATATTATGAAAGTCAGATCACGAATAATGTCAAATTTACCTATGACATTAAAATAATGATTGATATTAAAGTTAAATTCAACATAGGTCCTATAGCATGATTTTGCAACACAAAGAAACAATAAACAATACAAAAATGAAATCATTTTTCGATAGGTATACTGCTGGGTTCAATTTATTGATAGATATACACTTCCTTTTAATATGAAAATTACTTGCTTTTTCATAATAGGTAATATCATTTAGAAACCACAAAATATCCCACAGAAGTATATTAATGTAGACTCAAGATAGTATGTTTGTGTAGTCTAATAAACGAGTAAGATAAGGAATTGTTTATTTTTTTTTGTCAGGCAGCATCAGAAAACATCGTAAGCGCATGGATTAACCCACAAGTAATATCCATATAGTTTGTTCAGGTGAAAAGGGGAAATAAAAAGGTGATCACCATCAAAACTTAAATCTTTAGCAAACATACTCCAAATATCGTTTGTTGACAGTATAAACATGGCCCAAGAGTGTAATCTCGTAATATTAACTTGATTCATCGTGGGGGATTGTGTTAATAATAGAAAACTCTAAATTCCTCAAATCTTGAAGATATCATCAATAAATCATCTTAGATATAACAAAAGGTTCACGAGTTCAATGGTGGAAATGGGCATATTAGAAAAATTTCTTTTCACCAATAAGTCTTTTTTGTGACAAACCTAATGCTTATCCTATGAATGACATCTAAATGCTTTTTTTCACAGAAATCAGAAAACTACAATTAGGTAAGTGAATTGACACTTCAATATTTGGTGGATGAGAGATGACATCATCCATTTATTCATAAAAGTTGAATGCAAACAACGTAATTTGCGTTATCTTGTAACTCAATTTTTTATCAAGTACGAAATTGCAACATTTCCAACAGGTTATTAATAAATCAAGTACAGCTTTGTAATAAATCAAAATAATGAAGCCCCCAGGAGAGTTGAATACAAAAGATAGCTATTTCAATTCAGTTTAATAACTTTTCAAGATGCAGACTGTGGCCTTGAAAATGAAGTCAAGTATTTTAATTAAAAACCTGAATCTAAATTGCGAGAATAAAAGACACTTAAAATTGTATTTGGTTTGGTGAAATACTCGTTTTGTGGTAAACAATAATATTCTAATTTCATAAATGAATATTGCTCGATAAAGATTGATATTGAGAAAGATATTTGAGCGTTATATCATTCAGACAAGTATATTGCAAAATTGGGTTAATCAAATTTAAAATATATAGTTGCCAGTGTGTCAGATATCATATAAATGATTTCGGCTCATATTGTTAACATTTCAAATCCTTTTAGTATTTCAAAGGATCTATTTTCTATTATACCGATCGATATTTGTACCGATCATCACCAAATAATATAAATAGATATGGTATTCCACCAGACAAAAAGGCAAATACTCATCGATCACATATAATTAAATTTGAAAATTAACAATAACAGCTAGTTAAAAGTAAACGTTTTATGTGCAACCTCTAACAAATCATTTCTATTATCATAGCAAGAATGTCAATTTTAACCGACAATAAAGGAAGTTATAAGGAAGTCCTTGCGAGTTTCTTTTCAATTATTTGTTCCTAAGTAGTGAAAAGAAGTAAGATCGATTGTACCCCAGTCTGTGTGGGTTATATTATTGAAATTTAAAATACAACTAACCACACATAGACTATATGCAAGCTTATATATGCACTATATGCAAACTTATTACAAGCCACACAAAGTGTGACATTGGCAAACACTGAGTAATGCTTACATATTACAATATAATTTAATTAAATTTGTGTGGTTCTGTATTATGTGTATTATTGTAATTGCTTTTAATTTTCAAAGCTGGATAAGCACACTTGTGGATGTTTTAAACCTTTTTTACATTTTACATATTCTTCAGTCCCTAAAATTATGTTGTTTTTGCTATGTCTGATCTATATAGTGATCAAAACCAATAACTATAGTACCGGTAATGATAATAATGTACTAGTGTGGAAAATTACAACAAAAATAAATGGTAAAATATGATTATTTTCAAATGTTATACTTTCTAAGCTAGTCAATACAGTTATAACATAATACAAAATCTAATAGGGCCTACAATACCTTCGCCTCCTCCTAGCAGATTCAGCCTCTTGAAGAAAAGGTATGCACAGCAAAACAGCAACTAATAGGTGGGTTGCAGAAATCCTCATCACATTTGTTACAAATAGATAAACTTTATAGGCACAGGATGACAATAGGCTTACAATTACATAAATTTTAAGTAATTAAAAAACTGTGAAACAAAAACAAATAAATTAACAAATAAATAAACAAGATTAGAGATCTCTCACAAGTTATGAAGAATTGATTTCTAAATGATTTTAGCTCAATTAAATCAATTGTAAACTTCGAGCATAAACGAGTATACAGCAATACTAAATCATGCCACGATATAAATCCGTTTTATCTACGGTTACCTAACGGACTAACCTATCTGCATATGACCGGTTAACCGCGGCATGTTCAGATGTTCGCTACGTATTTATGAGCAATCGACCACTTTCTTATGCAGCCGTATCCAAATATAAAACCGAAAGGCACGTGGAACTACATCGACAAAACATATACTAAATCTGTAATCTTTAAAATTAGACGCCTTACAAAACAAAGACTAGACTATAACTAGCAATAAGCTGCTTACAATCTCGCATTCGGCGTAAGGTTTCCCATCTCTAGACAAATATTAACTTTCGGCACGCGACGAACGTTGAAAAGCGACTAAATAACGTCAATTTCTCCCTTCAATAAATCCTCGCAATGCGAGAAATTCAAATTCTTGCCAGCGAATTAATCTCCCGGAAACACTACAATAAAACGATTAGGTTTATTTTTCACCTGCAGGCGAATAAATAATAAGTATTATCCATGAGTAATGTTTGTAAAATCCAGCTGACATTCGAATCACCTTGCAAACGCGACGTAACAAAACTGTCTATCAAATGAGCTTGATTTCTATTTCACACGACTCGAGGCGAGAAGCGAGCACGCGTGAAACACGTTGTCGCTGTAGTTTATTGTTATGTGACAAAATCGTTTTGTAAATTTAATTACTATTTCAATCTTTTCGTCTTAGTGCGAGTAATTTTGTCAATTTTTCGCCTCTATAAATATGAAATTCAGGAAGGAAAATTAGTCTTCTACCTTCAACATTTTACTTTTAAATTGGTACAGTTGGAAAAACTTTGCAGCGCATCGCATTGGCTCAATTTTGTAGTAAACAGGCAAAATTCCCACTCGTTGTATGCAAAACACCTTTGTCACCGATGATCAGTTTGTGCCACCAACACTTCATGGCTCGATTTTTATACCACCGAAAAATACGAGATAAATGACTATTAAATGAACGTTTGAAAGCGCAGATTTCTCTCTTTTCGAAAAAAAAGAGAATCAGATTCTGCTGTCACTTTTGAACACCATAGTTGACCCGAGGTTAAGCCTCTTTCGCCACCAGATAAAATTATCGTGCCATTTCACGAGAGGGATATGATTCAAAAGAAATGACAATACTCGCAAATATGCAACGCTTAAATTGTCATGAATGGTTTTTATCACCGTTTCAAACAGTGCTTAAACACTATTTTACCGCAAATAATGACTCGTCGAATTAGCAAAAAAACATTTTTTTCCGGCTGAAAATTATATCTTAACTTGATCCTATATGTTTTGTAAATGGTTGGGTCGACAACGAACAATGACGCACTTTCCAGTTGGTGGCAATACTATTTTGTTTTTCATTTTTACGCTTGATACCAAAAGCTACCCGTCTGTCAAATAATTGATTGAAAGGGCAAGAACATTTTCGGAAAAGACTGGTCGGACGATTTTCAAACATGTAACCCACTTCGTCAGTTGACGTTACTCATAGAGAAAGTCAATTCGAAAATTTTTCACCATGCGTGATCGCTTGAATATTCAAAGTATGACTTTCACAAGAAACTTACAATAATAAACAATTGGGATTCATAGTCAACTAATTATAACTTACTCATGAAACAGCGACAGCGTTTAGGCCATCGTTCTTGGAAACTTAACTGCATACCAGAAGTTTGTGTAATGGCAAAATGTCAATTCAGTTATAAGAGTTCTACACATATATATATATATATATATACAGGCGCATATTTTCTTACTATACATTCTTACTTTAAATCACATGGTTAGATTCGACTGATTCGAATTCCAAGATCAAATCAGATAAGAAATAGTAATAATGAAACACAGCTGTGTGTATATAAATATATATAATTATCTACGTTCGTAATGCAAACAAAAAGCAAACTATTACCAGTGTCTGAAATGAGTACGCGCAAGTAATCAGTAAACGAAATTAGGATTTATGACTATAATAAATTGCATTAGCTGCAACAAAATATATCAAAAGATTTACAGATATAGTATAATTGACAAGAGCTAAAACATGTTGCATATGCCCAAAACAATTTATTCCGAATGATCGAAGGATAAGAAATGTTTTGTCAATACGTTTCGCCAACGTTGTGCGCCAAGTAGTCTATGTAAAAATTGATATTTTCACAATCGCAACGCTTAGTTTAATCTCTAACTAACTTACTAAAATTGAAGTTTATTTTATCGTCTTGTTGACGCCTCTCTTTGGATACATGTGAAAAAGAATGAAAAACATTGCTCGCTTTCGTTCGTCCTTGTTAGACCAATAGTGATACTTACACTCTGAAAGGCTAACTAGAATACAGTTCACGGTACTACACTTTCAAGAGTGTTGACAATAGTACATTCAGAAATCAGAAGTGCGGAATAAGATATAGCAATATTTATACAAAACACCACGGAGCCTAACGAGACAAAGTTTTCATCATTTCGTATGAACTCGAAAGAGTTTTTCTAATTGACACAAATGATAGATTCACATAAATCTTGCAGAACAAATGACTTGGATTTAAGATGCAAATATATATCAAGCTCTTTTGTACGAAAAGGGCTTAGCCGAGGCATGAATCATTGTCCAAAAAATAATATTCAATGAGGAATACGGGATAAAATAACGTTCCGCGGTAAGTTGTTGCAAATATATTTCTGGAGTATATACTTCATTTCGTTTTAAATATTGTTTGCTGTTCACGCCCTGTCCTGAATGCACAAGACAGGTAATCCTAAATCTTCTTTTCACAGCTGCATTGTGTTTTTCGACACGATCCCTTTGACCCTTCATTTCTCTCAATTTTCTCTCGATGCAAGTCAATTTTGATGAGATGGGTGAAAGTTTAAACAAACTAGTTCATATTTGGAGTCTGGTTTTTTGAGTGTTCTAGTTACTAGTAAATAGAGCCTGCTGAGTTCGAGAACTGGGGCGTCAGTGATTCAATGCTGTTTTTTTTGCGTGTTTCGATATTTTCTGTGTTTATAAGTTTCGCTAAAGTCAAAAAATAATTGTGTTGATGATGTCTCATATCATTCACATTTGGATAAAAACCAGACAGACGCAATAACGTCTAAATATTGCTCACTCTTTCAGTATTTGTAAAAGTAACATTTGACTGAATACTGACAGTTTAACACGACATTGGATGTATAATTAGACCATTAGGGGTGACCATAATTATTTTAATTTTACTTAATTGCTATTCTCAATGATGTAATTTCAAGGAATTGTGCTGGATATTCAAACTCGAATTTTATTTAATATCGGCCTTCGGCCCTTGTTACAACAAAATCGTAGATACGGGGATGGCCTATTAAACCTCGTGATAAAAAAAGCTTCAGCTTTGCAATAATTACAATCATTAGAGTATTTTCTGTGCTGTATACCATAAATAAATGGCGACTTGAAGTGTCTATTCATTTAAAGCCGACGGTCCAGATAATGTAACAATTTTAGTAATTTTCCAGTTTTTCGTAATCTATGGAAATCACGATTCATTTACTGAAATTGAAAGCAGATAAACCTAACTTCCTTCATCCGGGTATAGTGACAATTATCTAAAATTATTTCGATAAACCGCTGTTAAAAACAACTCCTGTATTGTGAATATTCATTCCCTTATGAAACAATTATTTTTGAGTCGCTGGTATAAAAATTAATCGCAGGAAATACGGGTTCAGATATTAAAGTTTTAGGTAACGTTAATTGTAACAAATATAACTTCAACCAGTCAGGATAAACATGCATACACACGTAAAAACAAATTTAACCTAATGAATATATAAAAAAACAAGAGAGCTATGCTCAAATATATGGACACGTCACAAGGTGTCGCTATTTTACATTCTGACACATAAAAAACGAATCTCTTGAAGTCCACAGAAATTATTGAAATAAGTACAAGTAATAGCCTTCTTTAATCAATCTTTACCCACTGAAAATTTCAAAGCAATTGGTCCAGTATTCGAAGAGAAAAATGACTTTTTCATAACGTGTCAAAGAACAAGAACAACATAATATCGAAACGATCGTTATGTCCACTGACATGTCCAAATATTAACAATCTTATGTAAAATATTTTAAAGTTGTAATGAGTTGAAGTCTTGAATTTCCATACAAAGTACTGGACACCAAAAATAGTATCTTTAAAATTTGTTCGACATTTTGAATTTTATGCGCCACGTAATCCATTTTTAACTAATCGTTGTTAATGCATTATTTTTGATTGAAATTCAAATACGGCATTACAACAAATAACATTCGTAAGATATAGTGTTGTTAATTTCATTATTAGAGCCAAGATAGACTTTATCAGCAAAGTCAATTGTTGTTTGACATTTCATGCTGCTATATGCCTACACTTTACCAGATATAACAGGGTGATTGAAAGGTAACTCCCTATTTTAAAAAAACTATAGTTTATTTTTAAAATATAATTTTTTACAATTAATGAATATGAGAAGGAAGTATAATGCATGGGCTTATTGAAAAGTAACTCCCTATTTTAAAAAAACTATAGTTTATTTTTAAAATATAATTTCTACAATTAATGAATATGAGAAGGAAGTATAATGCATGGGCTTTTATTTAAAATTCAATATGGGCGCCTTTATTTGCCACCAGCTTCTCAAGTCGACCAGGAATCGCATCAACTGATTTCGCAAGAAACTCTTGCGGGATGGAAGTCATAACTTCACGTATTCGCCCCTCAAGTTCTTCCAAATTTCTTGGTTTGGTTGAGTAGACTTCCTCTTTCAGCCAACCCCAGAGAAAAAAGTCGCAGGGTGTTAAGTCAGGACTTCTGGCAGGCCATTCGTGCGAACCGCGACGACCCATCCATCTTCCAGGAAATTGAGCATTTAGCCATTCACGAACAACAATAGCAAAGTGTGGAGGAGCTCCATCTTGCATGAAAATCAAATCTTCAATATTTTCCCAAGCACTGATAATTGGCCAAATTTCATCTTTCAACATAGCGAGGTACCTTTCGGCATTCATGGTATCGCGAAGAATGAAGGGACCCACAATCCTATCAAAAGTAATTCCACACCATACCGTTACTTTGGATCGATTTTGCATTTTTTCACAGGTAACACGAGGATCTTCTTCCGCCCAGTAGTGGCAGTTATGACGGTTCACAAATCCACCTATGTGGAATACAGCTTCATCACTCCATAGAATATTTTTAAAAAGGTTGGGCCAATCTCTAAACCAAGCCAACATTATTTCACCAAACTCCATACGAATGTCAAAGTCTTCTGCAGAGAGTGCTTGACAGTAATGCGGCTTCCAAGCACGCCATTTAAGCTCGTTTTTTAGCACATTACGTACACAATGAAAGGAGAGCCCACTTTCTCTTGTTGCTTGACGAATTGACTTATGTGGGCTACGGGTAAACATTTCTTTAACAACTTGCACTACCTCAGGATCTCTGGATTTGGAAGGACGACCGCTTCTTTGAGTATCAGCCACAGATCCTGTGGTCATAAGTTTTTTATGACAATTCTTGATCGTCTTCGGGTCAATTTGGGCATGTTTTCCCTTAATAGTTCTCCACCATCTTTGCACTTGAACAATGCATCCCCAAACTTCATAACGCGCGGCTATCTGGGCACGTTCCTGTAGAGTAAGACGTCCAGCCATTTTTGTAGGGTTTTGAAATAAAATAAATTTGAAAAGATTGAAATTGAACAATATTTAAACAAATCTGAAAGGAAAACAAGAACATAAATTAAATTGCCATATATTAAGTAATATATACACATAAATTTAGAAACATGAAACATGATATAGCATTTGAATAAATTGTATTTATTTTAAAATAGGGAGTTACTTTTCAATCACCCTGATATATACCGATATCTATTTTTCGATAAAAATTTTTTATTTTTCCTGAGTGTCCATGAAGTTATCAGGAATTTCCAATGTTACTATATATAAGGAAATTGTAAACAGGTGTAGCATGGTGATAAATTGCCAGTATAAATGAACGAACGTGAAAATTTGTCGACGAATCAGCTTGTAACCTTGCCATTCATTGCCTCGTCACTCTGAGTGGTAAAGGGAATCGCAATGTTCTGACTCAGCAGCGCCTCTGTCGTTAATGAAAATCGCAAAACTTCGCACATTTTCATTGACGCCAAAAATCATTACTCTGATACAACTGTATTTCACACACTCATGCCCGCGATGTGATTAAACCATCGGTATACGTTTGACAGATTTCCCATAACAGGATGTTGGGATAAGAGACTTGCAAATATCTCCATTTTCTCAATCGCTTCGATGTATTAATACGTAACTAATATGAATCTGGATATGTTATCTGTTTTATATTACCAAAGCCGGCCAGGACAGGTGAACGAGCGAAAGGCCTGAGGTTTGTCAAATCGGCTTTTGTTTCCATGGGAACCAATGGAAAGTCTTAGATTCAATGAGTACATTTTCAACCTATGGGAACTAGCTATTAGGGTTGCAATCTATGAAAAGTTTCAATGAGGGACATAGATTACCGTCTTTATTTAATTTGTAACTTGCAGGAAAGAACAATATAAAACAATGAAATAAAAATTATATACAAGCTAACAAGATATAGTAAAACAATCTTCACGTGTTTTTCATTTAATGTTTGTTTAACATTGACCCAAACAATGTTAATAAAATTGTTATTTCTTTGGCTATTTGAGCCGGACCAAAGCGAAATTAAAAAGAATAGTTAAAAGCTTGCAAAAACATAAATGGAGGCATTTTTTTAAAAACGGAACAATATCAAACACAGTACTATAACTAACTATCAGGCTAAACGACGTTGGAACGAATAACATAAACTTAGCATCTTTTATAAATGCTAAAAAGGACAAGGACCGAAAACCTTAATTTGCAATAAAGGACAGTTGGCACCCCTACTAGGTTTAAACCTGACGTGATTTAAACCGTGCTTAACTGCACCGAATGAATCAAAACTTCCGCCATTCGAAGAATCTTAAGCCATTTGCTTTTGCAGAACGCCCTCGAGTTTTGCAGCTATGTGAATGAAGTGGTTGTTTTAGAAAGATATTTCAATACACTTCGCTGATCCTAATCGATTCACGCATAGCTGCAAGCTTGATCATATATTTACAGACAACATAGAAGTAGCCTACGTCATTCAGCATTTTGCATAAATAACGCGATGAATTGAAATATAATACTCGAGTTGCAGTTAATATGATATCAGTCATCCTTCGGCACCAAACAGAATGGAAGTCTTAACAATTTTATCAGCATTGTGCTTCACTGCCCTGGTTGTGGCAAAACCAACAACCACAACCAAAGAATGTCAGTTACCAGCTTTAAAAGAAGTCGACTCCAACATGGTAGGTTAAAATTTTGTTGAGGTTTGAATCAGACGTAACGTTTTAGTAGTTTTTGTTAAAATGTTTCTCATGATCAACAACGCGCCATTTTCAACAAATATATATCCAATATTATTTCTTCATAAATCATAGTCTACTAGCTAGAGCATTGTAATCTTTTGTTGTTTTTATTTATAGCTCACTGGAACTTGGTATCTAGTATTAACACCTGTTCAACCCTTTGAAGAAATGATGCCCTGTTTTGCGGCTAAAAACGTCAGGGACTCGGGGAAAGGTACATACGTGAGAGGAATGATCATCTATCCATCAAAGTATGCTCAATAAATTTAAAGATTACTTTTTTACTTTTTATAGATTTTAAAGATTAAAGATTTAAAAAGTTTATATTACTTTAAAATATGAGACAAGCGGCTTTGCATAGGAGTTAAATAAAAATATGTCATGTCCTATGTAAATGGCTTAGCGTTCGTCATTTTTCCAAGATTCCAACTCAACTGAATCATTAAGAAAAGTTCGATTAGAACCGCTGACATAACAGGCTAACACGTGTTTTCATTTTTTATTAATCTTCTCTTTGCAGAGACACCGTTGAAATCGAAGACATACCACTACATTACTTCGCAATGAATCATACTTCAATCAATTACATGGACCCCAAATATGGTTAATTAAAATTACTGAAATTTTTAACTATTAAAACATCAAAAATACGTTATGTCTATACAGAAGATTATTTTATAGTAGATCACAAATAAACAAAAATTTCAACATTTGCTTTAAGAATTTATATTTGCTGATTCTGCAAAGAGACACGGCATAGGAGAGGAAGGGATGAAAGGTAATGTACCTGATGTTTCTGTATAACCATCTTTTTATTATTATAAATATGTTGATCAAAAAAGTGCTTCCTAGATTTAGAAAAATATAAACATGCGATTTTGACTTTTCAATAAATTAATTGTGCCGGTATATGATACAACTCCGAGCCCAGCGCTAAGTTGCTAACTATAACTTTACGACCGACTCGTGGTTGTGCATCAAAAACATTCTATTTGAAATAATAAATGAAATATACTCACACAATTTGTTGTTTGCCACTCAAATTTACGGAAAGATTAACATTTTAGAGGTGAAAGGAGTGTTTTCATTAGGAGCAAGTCAAGTAACGGATTATGAAAACTATCTCATTTGGGTAGAGTGTGCTTTCAATGGTGAGTGACTGGTAAAGTATTTTGGCCGCCTTGCTCATAATTAACATATGAGTGACTGCTAACAACATTCTACATACTTAAATCCTTTGGTCTATAGTATAGATATATCTATGGTTACCATATTTTTGTGACTTCAAATCGGAACGCCTCGGAAGACAACGACCCCTTAGCTGTGATTTTGTAACTTCACATTTTCCGATTTTACTACATAGGCCTACATTCCTACATTTAAAGCTGTCGCGGCTGTCTTTATTGGCCATATTGTTATCGAAATTTCATGCGCATATTCTCTTCCAAATATCGCGTTCAGTTCGAAAAATAGGAAGGAATTGATGTTAACGATACCGGTACAAATAATTCGAATTTAGACGAATTAGTATTGGTTTTACATGCGATACGTCTGCCATCAATGGAAATCAGCGGGAAACGAACGCATTCACCTTCAGTGAGTCGGCTAGCGCTGCGCTACACATAAACAACAGTAACGAGAACATGTTTGTGTAGTATGCTGGAAAAGCGGGACTTTTGGCTGACTTATCGGGACGGCGGGACAAAGCGGGACTGTCCCGCCTAAAGCGGGTCGTATGGTAAGCCTAGATATATCATATACTAGATTTATCACTAAAATTTGAGCCGATTGGTTGATCAATTTAAGTCACAGAAATAGGAAAATTAATTACAAAACCCCAAGATATAATATTTGATAGAAATAATATTGAATAACTGAATATTAGTACTGCTAAATATAGAAGTGTGTATACGCATTTTTGTACTATTTTAATAGGCGATAAGTATGCTCTTGCCTACACAAGAACCAATCATCCCAGTGCTGAAAACATTCTTCAAATACACAATGCGTTGGCAGAAATTGGAGGAGAATGGAGTCAAATTCCGCTACATCTGGCGGGTTGCACAAAATTTGACATACCGTTTGCAGAAATATAATTATTCTACAAATGCTTATTGGACACGTTTAGTGGACATAACGATCGTTTCAATAATATTTTGTTATTGTTATTTGTCTCCATCATTTTTAAAAAATCGCTTTTCTCTTCGAATACTGATACATCTGATTTTTTGCGTAGGTTCAATTTATTTCAGGGTTTTTATCTATATTGACCAAATCTAAATACACAAGATTTTAATCGTTAACAGTGCCATTGTGACTGAGTAACACCAGGAAAACTCCTTGCTACAAGTCCTCTGTAGCAATAAACATTTTTCGATCACCTATTTTCCACATAACGACTATTAGTTTATTTCAAACATATCGTAAAAATGGTATTTTTTTATAAGATTATGCGATGTCAAAGTTATTCAGATTTCTTTACAAACTTCGTTCTAAGTAGAAACATTTAATCAGTCTTGTTCGAAGGGTTGCATTTGAGTATTTGTGTATTTCATTATCTGTTACAGTATTTGGAACAATTCAAATCGATTGTGCAACTTTACAATATATGAACATTTGCAACCATTGTGTGCTTTTTTGATCTATATATAATGAAATCAGATTGAAAATGATTTCTCTAAGTACGTTCCAATAGTACGCAAAATAGGAACAAGCAGTGGGGACCCACTTTTCCTAGTGTAGTTTCATCATATTCAATTGATAACTTAGCATTTATCGGCGCTCAAACTTAAGAAAGTTTTTTTTATACATCTCACCGAAAGTAGGCTATTTGATATCAAACGATGATCTGATGGTTAAGCCTCAGTGAAAACCTATTTACCAGAAAAAAAGGCAAAAATTGAGTGCCAAATCCATAATACCCGAGGATATCTGAAATAATAATCTTTTATCTTAAAGTACGCCTACTGAAAATTTGAAACTGATTGTTCAAATTAGTTGCCAAAACAAAGCAATTTTTCTCAACAACAACAATCTCAAACCAACTACTATGTTCAGTCAACACAATTGGGAAGATATTTATTGTACATGTCATTCATACGGAGATCAACAACAAAACATCTAATGATCAATTATTTTATAGTTTTCCACTTCGTCTAAATCAAACTGTAAAGTCAACGGTCTCAGCTATAATTTGATGGGCTTTTCAGGTCAAGTCGTGTCTGATTTGGCATTGGTAAGTGGTCACACATTAACAGACTAATTAAGTCTGTAATACTCGATTTGCAATTATAAGCTCAAAGTCTGAAATACGATATTTTGTGCACATAACGGGATAGACATGGCATGCTTCAACCTAAGTGAGACTGCTTCGCCAATCAATTGGAGTATACGCGGACGTTTGAACCTTGACATAAATCTTCTTTATGTAACAACATGGCAATTCAACGTCATTTCGCATTATATTTATGCAAAGCTTGTTTATAAAGCTAGCTGTCACTCAGTCTACGTAATTGAGCGTTTAGCTTACCGTAAACATTAGCGCAGTAAAAAAGTCGTTTATTTCTCTGTACTCTGAGAGTAACTCAGACTGTTATTTGTTTACATGAAATGTATTTTATTACGTGCTCATGTCAGGCAGTAAATCTGCAGGCATATACGGTATTTTGACAGTCTTCATTCTCAATTGAGTCCTGACTGATTTTTTGCTTTTATGTTTTTTGAATTTACTCGAGTGAAAAATAAGGAAGCCATTGCAACGGTGCGGTTTTATGACAAAAATATTTTCGACAAGTTTGTAAATCAAGCAGACATGTGCGAGGTGCGGAAAACGCTTCCAACTTTATTGTAATCACATAAGAAGAAAAGAACCATGTGGTCACGTGGATAAAAGAGCAGGGAGTCAGCCAAGAACAGTTAAATTCGCCCATTGGGAAATATTTCAGTCAAAACCATGGTCCTGGCATCAACCAAGGCTCTAAGTAAATAAAACAAACAAAACAAAAATAAAGTCCCGCCACACTATGATAGATGAAAGTTATTCTTCCCAATTTACAATCTCATACACACGAATGTATGCGGTCGCAATCACCAAAAAACTCATGCTCAGTGTCTAACTGAAGGCACCAAATTACAGTCGTTATTATACGACGCTTTACAAACAGTATTTGAATGAAATCAAAAAAATCAATTTAGTAACATTCGAATTTAATTATTAAATGAAAAATAAACAAGATCGTGTATGGAAAGTGAAGTGATTCTCCATGAAGTGAAGTAAGTGATGATTGGGCGAGACACTATAAAAGTGTAAAGCGTCGTGCGTTACGTCAAAGTGTATACAGCCAAGGCTACACAATCAATAGAACGTTTTCTGCGTACAGGAGGTTTTCAGGAAAAAATCATATTTTCCAGTGAAAATTCCCTAAAGAGGAATGAAATTAAATTCGTGGACTTTTTAAAGACTATAATTACATCTCATCACTTATATTCTTAATGATTCTGCAAGCCGATGAATACACAAATGGGATTGTCTTCTTGTATGGCCCAAAGTTCTGTATTTAAAATATCAGCGTAAGCACGATCCTTCTTTGGCCATGTCGGCTGACGATATATGACGTATTGTTTACACTAAACATCAACTCTCAATATATTGTAAGGTGCATTACAATTGGGACCATCTTTAATTCGGCAAGAAACAGAATGGACCTCCGAGCGATTTTTATTGCATTGTGCCTAATCACACTCTGCTCAGGCAAACCAACATCAAATGAACAATGCCGGTTGCCATCTTTAGAGCAGTTCGACTCAAACATGGTAAGTAATAATGAATACTATTGATAATTAGTCATACCTCCAAATATAATATCAATACCAAAGTTTGCAATGAAATGTTACTTTTGTTTAGCTAACTGGAACCTGGTATCAAGTCCTTAGACCCACAGTACCACTTGGGAAAAGTGTACTATGTTTTGTCATCAAAGACGTCCGGGAAACACAAAAAGATTCATACGCAAGAGGATTAATCATTCATCCATCATCAAAGTAAGACTATTCATAATATTCTTCAAAACAGTATTTTAATATGTTTTAAGATATTTTGAAAATCATAATTGAGGTAACGATGAATCTAGATAGCTATCGGAGACCGCCGACTTATCGATCTGAGGTTTCGATACTTCGTTCTGACTCAATAGCGACACCGCGTGTCCCATCACTAATTAAATAATAACTCGCTAATTATACTGGTCGGAGATATGATGATTGCACATGTAAAATTTGGAGCAGATTCAACCTCGCTTTCGTGAGACATCGCGTAACATACGAAAGTGACTAACAGACAAACAAACAGAAAAATACCTATCAACATACCCACCGATCGAGATCGATAAGCAATAATAGTAAATACATGGATATGGAGGTAGTGCCATTCTTTCACCATAAACCAGATCACACCCCGTAATAACAAGTTTCAAGTATGTTGTTATCATCTAGGCTAGAAACACCTTAAATTATTTATCCTATGGAATAAATCTTTGCATAAACACATTATTAGTACACGATATGTAATTCATTTTCCATATTGATTTTGCAGTGGCAACATTGCATTTGAAGATTTACCTATGCATTTCTGGTTTAGAAACAATACGTCGATACATCAAATGGACAAAAAATATGGTATTTTTGTTGAAATTTCATTGCACTTCTGTCTGAATCGGGTGTCAAATGAATAAAATTTAAAATTATTATTTTAGAATATATCTTCGTCGATTTGGAAAAAAATCTCGGTGTTAGCGATGAAGGAGTTAAGGGTAAGATGTTAATAAATTTGATTGGCATAGTTATACAAAATATTCATATTAAAAAAAAGGATTAACGAATCTTAAGGCGCGAAAATATAAATGCATGGACCCAACAGAGGCTTAGGTGATTGGTCGACATCCGGTTTTAAACACTCACGAAACGGTTGTTTTTTGAATGAAGACTTTCTTTATTCCCAGTCCCAGTTCTCTTGAACATGTTTCCACAGTTACTGTCTCTATGACTACTACAGCCTTTGCTCTTGGCGTATCTACAATTATAATCGAATTTCTAAATAAAGCCTCAGCTTTTTTGAGATTTATGATGAGATCCGTTTATTATCACTCTGGAAGTTATAGATGCTGAGGCTACTCCCTCCCTATCATAGCGCTTAAACTATGCCTGTAAAATCTGAACTTTAAACTTTGTTGATGGCTGGTTTCTAGAAGTCACAAAAAATGGTATAAGATGGCACATTTTGACCCCCGCGTCTGTTGACTTTCTGCTTAGTATTATGCTGTCTCGCGAGACCACTTCAAAACACGGATTACGCCTTGCTGAAACTAGCAACTAATAATAACTGAAACCCAGCAGTTACTACACAACTTCGTCTTTATTTTTTTTTTATATTGTATCCTACTTTGGTCCTTACTCGGCGACCGTTTCGTTTTCTGCATTTCGAAACATAGATGATGACACATTTCTACCATTTTTACGTCGGGATACATTAAAAAACCTATTTCATTGATAAAAACGAGTTCGATACAAACCATTACTGCACTAGAAAGGCAGCACACAACTTATGTATTTTTCCCAAAATCCAAATCTGCTGTCTATTTTGCAGTCCAACCAGTCCAGTGCTCAACAGAGGAAGCAATTCAAATTGGTTATTGTGACCATATTTTTCCAACCTGTCTAATTTTTAGAGATTGACGGATTTTTTTCGACGGAAGCTAGTCAACTGTCAGACTATGAAAATTACATGATCTGGATGCAGTGTGGCCCTAATGGTTAGTAAAAACATTGATAACTATGATGTTGAAAAAGCCGGAATTCTTGTACAAATAAATGCGCACATAATGCCACAAAAATGCGATATATAATATATAGAAAGGGATAAGAGAAGACTAATATATATCATCAAGAAAGCTGGGTACTACGATGTCCAATTATCAGAGCGTATTGCTGGGGATTTCGAATCAAATATTTGACATGAATCGAATAGTTAATTATTTGAATGAATTCAAACAAAAATTTTGGATCGCCGCCATCTTGTTTCGAGGGGAATCACTCATATTTCATAGTGGACCCATATTTTTTAATTGAAATTTCGTCATATATATGACTCTTTTTATTCAATCAGTTATTGATGAAACAAGTGCTTAATGTACGTGACAACTCGGTGAACTGAGTAATGAATTCTATGTTTTCAGTAATCTATTTGAACCCATTACAATGAAAAAGGTCTTAAGTGTTTGCGAGTCGATTCGAAACATATATTTTGAAACCATCATTTATTCTAAAATGCCCTGCAGTAAGTATGGTGCGATGTTCGTCATTTCAATAATTCATTATGAGACACGGTCAGTATTTATGTGTTTTTAGGTGAACGTTTCGCTGCTGGCTTCACACGAACCAATCATCCAAGTCCTGAAAATATTCTTCAAATTCGCAATGCGCTGATAGAAGCTGGAGGTGGATGGAGTCAAGTCCAACTACATCTTACTAGTTGCACAAAACTTGATATACCCTACCCAGAAGCATAAGTATTTTGTGAAAAATCGATTGCTGTTGAGTCAATGATGGTATGTTATAATATACATAAAATCATATTTCTTCATTGCATATCCGTTACAACTTTTTGTATGGAGCAAATAGCAGATGCAGGAAGAAAGGTTTCGATGAGAACTCATAGACTGTAGAGCAGGGTCGGCCAACCTTTTTAGCCGACGGGCCACATTTAGTTTACTAATAATTGCGCGGGCCACTTAACATGGTAATTATTTTCTAGTTTTGCTACATTGACTAAAAGTTGATGAAAAAACAAACAAAACACTCGCATCAAACTTTCTCAATAATAAGAACAATAAAAAAAACGAAGATACTGTAGAGTCAACAAAGGTCTTTCTACGCGTAGATATTTTGGTGTGAAGTTTGGCAAAATTTCAATATTCGCTGAAATGGACGATGTAGCAATGCAAAGCCAATTTTTCATATGACTGTCAGAAATTAGTGATCTCACAGGGGATTCAAAGCGCCAAAGCAATCCAAAGTTGTCAACTCATCAATATTTTGCTGCATTGCCAAAACATCAAGGATTTTATGCATGCACATACCACGCCTAAACACACAGCATTGGCGATTATCATTTATGCCCCAGCAGATTTGACCAAGTAATATTTAGTTGGTGCTACATTTAAACGAGAGACCCCGTGATAAAATAAAAGAAGATTGTCTCACAGATGAGATACAGTTAAAGAGAGTAGTAGAAGACCCAAGTGTGTAAGCGACTATTCAAGTATCGATATCTTCCAGTTGGTTTCGATTCAAAATGGCACTCATCGCTCGTTTGAAAGGGCTAGCAGAGCGCATTTCAGGAAACTGAACAAATTTTTTGTATCAAATCTTTATATTAACTACATCACTTGAAAAATAGATATTTCACGCAATTTGTTTTTTATTTATTTCCGAAAATACAGCGCGGGCCACTCGAAACTCCTCAGCGGGCCACATGTGGCCCGCGGGCCACGGGTTGGACGACCCTGCTGTAGAGTGTAGACAGTACACAAATCAGCGCCATTCAGTGCGCTAGTAAAGGTCGAGATGTTCCGATTTTGAACCATTCTGCAATATTCCTGGGTAGTTTAAAACTTATCCTTCTCTTATCCTAAACTTTACTGGATTGAACTTATCCAGACCGATGGATTGTAATGAACGTAACGTAATGAACATTTTATAACAAACTGACAAATGGAAGGGAACTCTTTAATGCTATTATTACCATAGATGAGGATATGCTGCACTGTGCATGGTAGTAAGTTAAGTAACGTATTGGCAGGGTGGGTGCAACTAATGTTGCAAATGACGTAATAAAACTACGATAAACACTGCTTCGCATAAATCTTATACCATCCTTTTAATTCGTGATATATATTTTTTAATTGTAAAAAGACTTTATAGGCAGCCTGTAGGCTACAATTAATTTATATAAAATTTCACTGAAAATGATTATTTTGGTAAAATTTGTGAAGCCTAGTCAGGTAATTAGATATAACATAAGAGAGCAATGCTCAAATATATGGACACGCAGACAATTCCCGAAAAATCATATGTGGTGACTTACCAGTACCTGTATCGGGGTACCGTGACGGTACAGGGACTGTCATAGATATTTTAAGTCCTGTGACAATGATCCATTCTTCTTGATTATATTGAAACACAGTGGCGGCGCGTGGTCATTTCGACAACCGGGGCAAGCTACTGCGGAACCAAGTCACCCCCATCTACGGGGACAGGATGAGCGCTGTAAGTTCTCCCATCATTTTATGAGTATAAAAAACATTCCATCGGTAACAACCAATCGGCAAAAGCGACAATTTTTAACGATAAGAAAGTGTCTTTTAAACCGGTCCAAGTCAAGGGATTAATAAATATAGACATAGTTTATTTTGAAACCTCTTTCAAAAGGAAAGGCAATATTTACCCAGATAAATACAATGACATATTAACAGAAACTTCGGGAAAGCAGACAAAACCTAAAATAAGGTTTAAAACGTTACTATGAAGAAAGGAAAGTTAATGCAAAGATAAGGACATGCGTCGCTCACTCATAGATATATATGCTGCTAGACTTCTACTGCTTGAACATATATGCAACACGCCGCGGTTTCTTGGAAGCAAAATGCTCAATAACGCGCTGATTAAAGTCATGCATCCCAGAAATAACGTCTCTGTGAATGGATAAAACAGCCAAGGAATTTAATCTATCTTGCTTCATTGTGTTTCTGAGATACGTTTTAATACGCTTCAGCGTGCTGAATGTTCGCTCTGCGTCGGCGGAAGAAATAGGCGTCGTCAAAATGATGTCCAGAAATTTTGCAGACGCCGCAAAGGTAGTTACTAGAGTGTTATCTATGAGGAACCCATAGAGCGCGCAAGTTGATGTGATGTTCAAAAAAGTTTGATTGGTGTATATACATCGCAATTCATTTTCCAATTTACCCACGTTTATCATGGGGTAAAATTTGGAGACAGTAGCCAACAAATGGATGGGAAATTGACGTGCAAATTTTGAAAAATTTTTGGGGTTCATCAAAGAGAACGCGGCAAGGTGTTCAGTGCGCAGACGATCGCCTATTTGATTCACCAGAATGTCACAGCATTCCTTTGCAGACAAAATCAAACGCTGCGTTGTTTGCCCGCGGCGTAAAGAAGCACTCCATGTGTCGTCGTATTTTATTGTTTCCCGGATACGAGATACAGCATCGCAGAAGTCTGAAATACACGACTGCACAGACGCTCCATCCATTAGCCTTGACTGCAATGCGCCGTATAATACATCCACGTGATAGAATATTGTAGAAAAAAGCGAGAAAAAATGAAAACTCACCATCTTCTAGCAGACGCTTTAGACCTGCCGCCTCCCTCACAGAGCGTTCGTCCCAAACCGGAGAGCTCTGAATGCCATTGAAACACTCAATGAGCTCAGACCTAATTTCGGACACGCCCTGCACCACGCGTGATTGGAAGTTCCAACGTGTTGGTGCACAAGCTGGGAGACGGCGGCTACATATCTGGCGAAGGAGGTCAGAGCGCTTCGGCGAAACGGAAAAAAATGAAGAAAACCCCGAAACATTTGCAAAAAATATACGGACGAGAGGGGTATCAAGACACATATTTTTAATAACGAGGTTAAATTGGTGTGCATAACAATGTAAAAAATGCGCATGAGGAAAATCTTCTTTTATATAAACTTGAACACCATGTTTCGACCCACTCATGACTGCCGCGCCGTCATAAGTTTGAGCTATCAATTTTGACTTCGCGTTGTAAGGCTGTAACACTTCTTTCAGTACAGCCGATATCCCGCAAGCCGTGCGATCAACGATTGGTACAAAGCTGTGAAATCTCTCGGTAGGTTTACCATCTTTCACAAACCGAAAAATCACAGCCAGTTGGGAAACGCACGTGATGTCAGTTGTCTCGTCAGACTGAATCGAAAGGAACTGGCAATTCTCAATTTCCAGAGCCAAATGTTGTAAATAAATTTTATACATTGAGTCGAGCAAATCATTTTGGATATCCTTAGATGTCCCTTTCGAAACAGTTGCGGCATCAAGATGATCTCTCAATACTGTATCTAGGGATGCGGTGTATTCCACCATATCCAAAAATACCCCTCTATTAGAAGAGCCAGCCCGTTCATCGTGCCCACGGAGGGACAGCTCGTGACAACCAATGAACTTCAAAACATCTATCAATCGACCGAGAACATGGCGGTTTTTCTCGACGTTTTGGTTGTGCCGACGAATAGAAACCGCGCGTCCTTCATCCAACTGTGCTGCAATATTAACATTTCCGAATGTTCGGTATTTTACTGCATTGTCCAGATGCTCCATAGAAGATTGATGATCCCTGGCACGCTCGGAAAGATGTTTAAGATCTCTAAAACCAAATTTACACCAACGTGAGTCACGGGCGGTAGCAAAAAGTAGGCAATAAAAACAAAAAAGTGCATTTTTGTCCTCGCTGTAACACAACCATTCGTGTTTTTTATACCAAGTTTCTGCGCAGAATGTACGCCGACGCTTTCCTCCGTCATGGGATTGTTCCAGTGAACAATTTTTTGGTTGATAAGGCCCAAGACGTTGTACCTCTAATTTTTGTTCCAGCGGCAGCTGCGAAAACGGAGTGCGAAGTAGTGCATCAACCTTATTCATTATGAGGTCTAAGGCTAAGAAATGCGAAGCCGGAAAGAAGTGAGGAGCTCAAAAGGAATGTGGAAAATCGAAAGCAAATGGACTAAAGGTCTCTAACTGATTCAAATAGCGAAACAAGCGACAAAAACGAAGGCGAGGAAACTATCAACTCTTCAAGCAACCAACGAACGAGAAGGAATGCGTGAATATGTCAACACGTTGTTGTAAGAAACGTCGGCATTGTGTCGTCATAATTTCGGGGCTAGCCCCGATGATTTAGTAAAAGAAACAGAAAACAAACGAGACAAACGCGGCGAGTGGAAGAAAAAGAGAGAATACGATACATATACAATGAGCAACCGGGGCAAAATCGGCGTCGCCCCGTCGACGTTCGGCGAAGGCTTTGCGAGCGAAAAATGAACCATGTCGGGAGAATATGGCTAGTGTAGACAGTCTGTGCAACCGATATTGAGGTATTTTTCGAATATTTTTTATTATACCGAAAAAACAACCGGGGCATTGCCCCGGTTGGCCCTATTGTCTATTGACGCGCCGCCACTGTTGAAACATCAATTGAAATATCTCGTGCTCTGAGTCAATTATGTACCGTATCAGGTACCACAGTCAAACATTTCACATAAAAACGTTACTAAATAACATGCGTCAATTTAACACCACGTGAATCGAGGTAAAACTCTCGGTACAGTGACTGTCATAGTCGTTTAGGGCTGATGGACAATTCGACAACACGGACAACTCACCAGGCCTATCTGTAGTCGAGTTGTCTCTGGTGAGTTGTCCTTGTGTAGTCGAGCTGTCTGCCTCCCATTTCACATGTCCCGTGGCAATGATATATTCTCGTCCATTCAATTGTAACATGAATTGAAATACTAAGTAATCCGTTTCATTCCATTCTCCATTATTGGAACAAAATTTAAAAAACAAGCCCCGCTTTTACCAGACAGCTACGAGTTAGTTCAGTGTCACCGACTCACCGCGC